TTGTTAGAGTTTTAGTAGTATTTTGTTAAAGCGTTTTGTTAGTAGTTTGTTAGAGTGTTTTCAAAGTAACTTGTTATAGTGTTTTGTTAGCTCATTTGCATGTGATTTGCTATACTATCAAAACACTTTCAAAACATATGTTTTGTAAGTAGTTTGTTATAGTATTTTGTTTCCCCCTTTTTTTCATTTGGGAAGTTTTTTAGATTTTATTGGTGTTATACAAGCTTGTCTTGTATTTTGGCTACACCTTTATGTGATTTTGAGAATGGGTGTTATACAAGTTTAATTTCTTGTATTTGGTTTAATATTGAATATTTAAGGGTGTTATACAAGATTGTCTTGTATTTTGGTTACACCTGTTTGTAATTTTGAGAGAAGTGGTGTTATACAAGTTTTTCTTGTATCGGGTTGTACACCACTGTTTATGAGAATTGTTATACAAGATTGTCTTGTATTTTGGTTACATGTTTATGTGATTTTAGAGTTATGGTGTTATACAAGTTTTTCTTGTATTTGGTTGTACACCACTGTTTATTAAGGGTGTCATACAAGCTTGTCTTGTATTTTGGTCACACCTTTATATGATTTTAGAGTATGGCATTATACAAGTTTTCTTGTATTTTGGTTGCACACCACTGTTCAATTAATGGTGTTACACAAGTTTCTGTTTTGTTTTTGGTTTACATTATTCTGCAGTATTTAAGAGTTGTGGTGGTGTGCATGTTTTTGTTGCACAGTAATTGATGGAATGTAGTAAGATATTTATAGGCGCTATGCAAGTTTGTTTTGTATTGATCTATATATATAAGAATCAATATTTAAATGTGATGTTATATAGTGGTATCCTTTGGTGTTATGGTGCACCACTTTGGTCTTAATATAAGTGGGGTTATACATTGCCTCGTGTGTTGTTACACTTTTGTGACATTTCGAGAGCTGTAGTTTTTTCTGAATTTGTAAATATATATTTTACAGTGACTAGTATTTTGTATTTCCGGAATGTGCACTAAATGTATGTAGAGGGTACAAGATTAGGGGTTAGGCATTCTCGGCATAGTTAAATATTTTGTGTATGCCCTTTTTATGATAATGGGATAGAATTAAAATCTTATTTCATTTTAAGGATATATTAAGATGATAATATATTTTGATCCATTTGGTTCACTTTTTTGCTGTGTGCAGGATTTACATTGAGTGGTTTATAATTTGAGCATGTTTGGTTTGTAGATATTTTTATTTTTGTTTTCTAATTAATGTGGAATTTAACTTAACATTTAACTGCATTTTATATCTATTTAATAGATGTCTATAGTTCTGAAGCAGAGGCATTCACTGTTGGGCAAGAATTTGCTACCCTTAGCATTGAGGTTAAAGGATTTGGCCACAGATATTCAGGACGAGAGGGAATTGGCAAGATTGAAGAAGGAACATCCCCTCACTAGATATTCCTTAGAAGAATTAGAGACTGAATTCAAAAGCCTCACGGGGGAAGAAGCGAAGGAGGTGTTGAGTCTAGTTGGAAAGCAACGGGATATCGATAACGTTCGTCTCCTGATGCATGTTGCTATCTGCATGGCAAATGATGTTGGGGCTCCTAAGTCAACCCCAATTGCTAGGTCATCTATTCTGGTAGAACCTGGTTCACGTCCCTCGACGTCTCAGTCTGTAGAATCTCGGGAGGGAGAAGTGTCTAAAGAGTCAAAGGATGTAGGTAAGGGCTATTTAAAGCTTAGTGATATGAGTACAAGAGTGGACATGTAAGTTCAAGTTTTTAATGGTGGTTTTATATTGTAGAGAAGAAAAAGGATGACATTGAGACAAGACTGGAAAAAATGGAATCAGCTATGAAGGAAGTGACAGGGAATACAGATAAAGAGGTGAACCTGGCATTAAAGAACATTTCTATTTTGGCAAGCAGGCCTAAGTTGACAGTTCCTGCAGTTATGTTAGCTGCGGTTGAATCATTAGTCGATATTGCAATTTCCTCTGGTCATAAAGAGGCTGATTTTTATGCGAAGGCTTTGCAAACTTGTAGGAAATTTGAAAATAATCCTGATATTTTCGGTTTGTGTCAACGTTTGTTTGGAACAGCAGATGATAAGAAAATTTCTTCTGTTGTGGCGGAATGGTCAAAAAATAAAAAGTATTTAGACGAGAATAAAGAATCAAAGGAAAATGTAAATTCAATGTCTTCTGCAAGTTTCGCAGGTCCTCAGGGGTCTAATTTTGTACCCGGTAGTCCAAATTTTCCGTTTTGGCAATCTCCCATGGGAGCTTGGCAAGGTATGCCTATGTATGGGCCAATGCCGGCTAGGTTTCCTAGACACAGATCTTATGTTGGAGGTGCATGTTATTATTGTAAACGCCCAGGCCATATGGTGGCCAAGTGCCCAAAGTTGATGAAAGAGAAGGATAAGTAGGCCTATAGTGTAAAATGAAACATGAAAATTTGATAGTGGCATGTTAAAATTTTTTGTATGTCATTGTTGAATCGTCAATAAACCTGATAAGTATGTATTTGGCTTCACATTTTTTAGTAATTTCAACCATCATCCCAAAGGACTCTGATGCCTTAGTGATTATTTCACGCGGGTTGAGGGTTGAATTACCTCTCCTATTATTTTACTTTCAGATAAAACGCCAAAAATTTTGTCCAGTTGTTCCAAAATGGGAATTGAAAGCAGGTTTTTTAGCGGATTATGAAGATACATGTATGGTATATAAGAGAAATACATGTGCAAGATTTGTAAACTTAAACGGAGAGGTAATTCACCCCTCATCCCATGTCTTTGTATCTGCAGAAAATGTAGTTAACAACAATATATCTGTGGATATGTCTGATTTGCCTTTAAGGGACCCAGGTACTTTTGTCCCAGGAGGCATTCATGATTATTTGCAAGAGTGGGAAAAATTAGATATTTCTGGTGAAATGCGGGATTGGTTAAAAGATGGAGTTGATGTTCAAAAATTTATTAAACCTTTTAAAGGTAATTTTAAAGGGAAATCGTATAATTCAGACAAGCCTCCTATGATGTATATGCAAAATTCTGCTGCTTGTGAAAAATTTCAGGAATTTATTGTATCAGAATTAACAGCTAGTTTGAGAAATGGGTCTTTACAATTGCTTGGTAAAATTGGGGAGGTGGATCCTCCACATTTGGTTATGCCCCTTACTATTGAACCCAGTAAACCTAGGTTATGTCATGATGAGAGATTTCTTAACTTGTGGATAAGACATTGTCCTTTCAGTTTAGAAACATTACGAGATGTTCCAAGACTAATCCAAAAAGATGGTTACATGACATCCATAGATGATAAGTCGGGCTATGATCATGTGTTGTTAAGTGAGAATTCTAGAACTTATTTTGGCATTCAGTTTGGGGGATATTACATGGTGTATAGGACACTTCCATTTGGTTTTAAAAGCAGTGCTTATATTTATCATTCTTTAGGAATGATTGCAACAGGATATTGTAGGCAGTTGGGTGTTCCAATTTCACAGTACATAGATGACAGGTTGATAGGTGAGTTAGAAACTTCTTATTATGATAGGAATCAAGGTTATAGGAAGGCTGAGCTTGCTCTGTATATTGTTTGTCAAGTTTTTACAAGACTAGGATACACCTTTGGTTTGAAGAAATGCATTTTTCATCCAGTTCAGTGTCTGAAGCACTTAGGATTTTTGGTTGATTCCATTAAACAGGCATTCATTTTGCCTAAGGATAAAATCAAGAAGTTTTCAGAGTTGAGAGAGTATTTGCTATCGTGTAGAGAACTTGAGGTTAGAAGTTTACAAAGATTTGCAGGAAAATGTATTTCTTTCTCTTTGGCTATCCCAGCTGCAAAGTTATACACTATTGAGGTCAACAGATCAATTAGTTGGTGTTTAAGAAATAGTAAGGCAGTGATTATGGATGTTTTTTAAGGTGCGAGTTGGAACATTGGCGGTTTATTGATTCTTGGGAAGGTTACGTGTCTTGGAGAGAGGAGAGACATCTTCAGTTACCCCTTTTCACTGACTCTTCTAGGTTTAAGTGGGGTGCAATGGTCATGTTGCAGGGGAAAGAAGTTGAGATGAGTGATTTCTGGTCTGTGGATGACTCGAGGCCTATTCATTTGAAAGAGGCTTCTGCTCTTTATTGTGCTATTGTGGCTGTCCAAGACACACTGAAAAATCATAGGGTAGATGCTTATGTCGACAATACAGCCCTCGTTAGGGTATGGGAAAATCAGGGTAGAAGGGACATTAGTTTGAATAGAATAGTGAAAGATTTGTATCAGGTCACTTATATCAGCAATATTGATTTGAAATTGCATTACATTCCATCGAAATGTAACCCAGCTGATGCCCCATCTAGAAAACTTACATTCCTGGACTGTATGCTTACTAAAAAGGTGTGGGAGGTTGTTCAAGAGAAATTTGGTCCCCATTCAGTTGACTTAATGTCCTTAGATTCAAATGTGATGAAAGATGAATTTGGGAAACCACTTAAACATTTCACACCATATCCTACACCCTTTTCAGCAGGAGTGAATGTTTTTTCTCAGAGGTTAGAAAATGAAGAGAACCCTTATGTTTTTCCCCCATTTGGACTCATTTTCCCATTATTGAAATTTTTGAAGTCCTCTGGGGTTAGGGTATGTACTATGGTAGTTCCTTTAACGTCCCCAAAACCTATATGGTGGCCATTTTTATTATCTTGTAGGCATGACAGTGTAGTGTTGGGTAGAAGAGGTGATAAAAATGTATTGTTGATACCATCAAAGCAAGGTTTTATTCCAGATACAAAAGGTCTTGTATGGGATCTAGTAGCTTCGAGACTTTCATTTTGATTGTTTTATTTTATAGATCTTGACAATTGGAGATTCTCAGAGAAATAATTGGCAGATTTCTGAAATGGATAGAAGATTCAGGTATCTGAATTCATTAGTGGATGATACTAAGTACGGGAAACAAAAATCTTCTTTAGAAAAGGAGTTCGGAAATTTTTTAAGTGAATTTTCTGACATTAAGATGTTAGATTCATCACCAGAAGATATTTGTAGATTCCTAATATATAAAGATAAGGGAGGGAAGACAAAAGTGCATGAAATAAATTGCAGCTTTGTGGGTGAAAAGTTTGGTGAGTGTGGATGCCCTTGTAGGTTATCGGCAGGTAGTGTTCAGTCTATTTTGGGTAAATTATCAAAATTATTCGAAGCGCATGGTAGGGGTAAGCAGTGGGACCCAAAATCTGGTTCTGGTAATCCTGTTGGTAGTTTACAAGTTAGAAAGTATGTGAAAGCTATTCAGAAAGAACAAGCTCAATCTCATGTTAGGGTTAGGCAAGCAAAGCCAATTTTTATTGGGAAGTTAAGGAAAATTGTTATGTACATTGAGGAACAGTTGAAGTTAGCAAGTGCTAATGTAGATAAGTTTGTATTTCTTAGGGATAAGGCATTCTTCTTACTTCAGTTCTTTGCAGGTGACAGGGCAAATGACTTGGGTCAGGTCCTTATTCAGGAAATAAAAGCTTTATCGGGTAATGCAGGACTTTTATTTTGCCACACAGTAGGGAAAACTTTGAGTAATGGGAGAGATAATATTTTTGCAGTTCAAAGAGTTGAGGATCTGTTGATTTGTCCAGTTCATGCAGTTGAAGCTTATGTCTGTGCAGCAGAGCTTATGGGGTTAAACATGAGTTCAGGGTATTTATTCAGACCATTGGGAAAGAATAGGTTGTCAGTTTTGGATGGTTGTTTGTCATATTCAGTAGTATATGAAAGATTAAAGTTCTATTTGCAAAAATTGAATATTGATGAGGGAGAAACCCCCCACAGCTTGAGAAGAGGTTGTGCAGTGACCCTTTCACTTTCTGGTTCAGCCGAGGTTGAGAAAAGCATTATGGGTCACATAGGATGGTTTTCTAGCCGAAGTCTAGATAGATATAGTGAAATGAAGAATTTGGTTGATGTTGGTTCTGTTTCCAATTTATTTGCACAAGTACCAAGCATTCAAGGAATAGAAAATGTTTATAAAAGTTGTGGTGATTATGATACACTCCCTAAAGCATTTAGTTGAACATATATGTTAAGGACTATGTGAGTTATATCTCACCTGCTATTGAACATTATGAATTGCAGTATTTTGTTCCAATATGCAAATTTAAAGAGATTGTAAATGTGGAAATGTTCAGTGCAACAAACATACAATGAATTGTCTTGATATGGTTTGAAATAAAGATAGTGCATTTAATTCAATATGTAGTTTTCATTTTTAAAGTATTTACAGGGTTGTGTAAGGATTGGGAAATTAAGTGGTTTATTTGAGTATTGGGAAAGGGACCACTTAATTGGTGAGCTTGTTGTCCTAGATCTGTTAAACTATATGGGTTTGTTCCATAATACACTGATTCTTCCCAATCCTTACAAACCCATGGTCAACTGAGTGAGATGTCATTTGGAATAAATTTATATTCCAAGTGAGATCTCGCGAGAGTTGACCAATATTCATTCAGTTCGAACCGGAAAGGAGGGTGTGGTTGATGGTGATTTGATTGGCATATTACAAGTCTGACTGTTATTGTGTGTTTGGACTTTGCAACAAAGGCGATTTGAACCAAAAAAAAAAAAAAAAAAAAAAAAAAAAGGAAGTGAATCTTATTCATTTGTTCCATGGGCATACACTGATTCTTCCCAATCCTTACAAACCCATGGTCAACTGAGTGAGATGTCATTTGGAATAAATTTATATGTGAATTAAAATGAAAACATCTGAATCACGGATTTCTCATCTTTGTTTTGGGTTACATGTACAGGCAAACCCTGTTATCTTGCACCCTATGAGTCCCAAGGAATCCATGATAAACATAGAATAAAGTGGTTAATTAATTTATCTCGGTCAACATGGTCAATTAAGAACTTAAATATATCTAGATTAAAAGGATGTACATGTATTTATAATAAGATATCAAAAGACATATTATTCTAACTGCATCAAAGTACTGAACAGTATAATTACTGTAACTCTTCACTGTGAAGTACATGGCAGCTAGACCGTCAAAGTGAAAAAATGTACATAATATGTTTTTCTTCATGCTCGCAAATCAACATGGTTTTCATTTTGAAATACTGAGGTTCTCTTTCAAAGATACGTTATATTATTGAGAAGTCGATCATTTCAACTTTGCATAGAATTTAAACAATTATTATTAAAAAATTTTCATTTATAATATTATACTTTATAGATTATTGAAAATATTTTCACAAACACATATGAGCACTAGAAAGTGCACCTGAATTAAACTACGTCATCTTGCGATTTTGGTTACTGGAAAAAATTCTATAACAACATGTCATTATTTAAAACATTGATTACATGTATTGGATTTTCTTCACTATACCACTGCCCCACTCAGATACAAAGAGGTTGTCTCTGGTGTCTACACATAATCCCCATGGAAACTTTAGATCACAGTTATCGATATAACAGAGGAACTGTCCATCCTGATCTAAGATGTG